ATGGAAACTGCCACTCTGTGTGACCCCGACACTCCGTGGTTGGCGTCCTGGAGGCAACGGCCTTCTTTGTCACCAACTTGGACACAAGCCTACAAGTCAACAAGTGCTCATTTTGGGTTATGAACCCATCACACTAACAGAGGGCAATGTTGCAACAGGACTTTTGCTTCTGGAAACATGGGATTTGCCTCTCGTAGTGCCTTATGGAGCATTTCTGCATCATGGCAATGCAATTTAAAAATTTAATTCACTTGAAAATAAAATAAATAAATAAATAAAAAATCTGTGGAAGTAGGGCAAAACATTGTTTCAAATGACAAACAAACTGTTGTAATTTCAGTTGTTTTCTATTTTAAAGAAGAAGAAGAAAGAAAAAAAAAAGCCATGATTTGAAATCAAAATCCTGGATTACTTATTTAGTCATTTGAATCCTTTACAGACATATTTTTGTGGTGAACTCTTAAGTTGGATAAATGTTATATTTAGTGAAGTAAAGTCATTTTCTTGTTTTACTATAAGGCTTTTTTTCAGTGTATCAGAATATCTAGGACAAGCATCGAACACTAGGGTTAAGATCAATTTAACTGACAATAGTGAATCCAGGTTTTTACTCGGAAAATATCAATAATGTGAAATTAGTGGTCATCTTAAACAGCTTAGGTGGTGTCATTTTCAAAGCCAGCTGGACGTCACATACGACTGAATCTGTTTTAGATGCTTGTTTTGAATCGACTTTGTGCATTTCTTTCAGCTGCCACTCTTTGAAAAGAAGCGATTCTTTTATTGAAATGAGGCCCGTGTTTGATCACCTAATGCCATATTGTTGAAATCAAAAGATTCATAAATACTTTAGAGGCTAGGAAGGTGACCCCTTTTTATGTAAACCGAACATTCAAATGGTTTAACTGAGCTTATGGTTTACACTTTGTACACACTTTAGAAGCTGTTCTCATGTAAGCGCAGTATCTGCAGCTGTGATTCTCAACATCTCTTTTTTGTTGGTAAATGATAACACACCATAGCTTCTTTGGTCGTGAAAAGCTTTCTGTGTCTATGCATTATGCAGAGGGGTGAAACTGTACATTGAGGGAAGAGCAACGAATGAAACATTTGTCTGTTTGTATAAGTGAAATTTTTATATACTGAATAGTGGGGGGAAAAGAACCAACAACCGCTACAAACAATGTATGCCTACATTTGTTTAGTATATCAGACTTTCTCATCCTTTTATTCCCCAGGAAAAAAGTGCATGTGAATTTGGTAATAGTTTTAAACAAACTGCAGATCGAAATTGACCCTGGTTTAGTTAGTGTCTGTTAATGACATCTGATTTGGTTTAGTTTTTCCAGTTCATTTGTAACAGTACCTCAACCATGAGAGTTGCATGTATGGACACAGTGAACCTCTGTGGAGGGGTCATGTACAAAGGATTTTATTACATTTCCTTAATAAAAGCAGGTTTATATTTACGTGTGACTTTTATCTTTTGAATCCTTCAGATTACACTACAAAAAAAAAGCTTATTTGTTTTAGTGTTGGAAAATGGCAAGTAGGTGCTGCAGTTTATTGAAACATGCACACATATATGTGTCAATACTGTGGAATAGGGTTACGGCCACTGCTAAAAGACAAAATTGGGCTTTTTTCAGTTTTTTCCCCCAGTTGCCCCAATTCTCTTCTGCACTTTCCAGATGGTATTGCATCATTTTTGACAAGATCCTCAACACCACTGACTAAAATGCAGCATAAACCACATCAAAGCTTCCGCCACGTGTTACAAATGGCTGTAGTCACTGTTGCACATTTCTCCTGACCTCTTCTGTATATATTCAGAATTTGAAGCATTCAATACAACTTTATTTAGGCACTGTATACTGTCAAGACAATACAAAAGTAATTCGTCACTCCATCAGATCTGTTGCCACTGATATTTCAGTCCAGTTCTTTTGTTATTACCTCAGATTGTTCTGTTTTCCTTCTGTAAGAATGGCCTCCTGACAGCCACTCTTCCATTAAGAACATTTTTGAGGCTTTAAAAAACAAAAAACAAATTCCTACTTCTTTAGGTCATGACTTTCAGATATTGTTGATCTGCAGATATGTTTTGATTCAGAGATCCTTCACTTGTCCAGCTGGCTAAAAGCTCTTTGAGAATCACATTGTTGGTGCAAATAATTATTTTGTCTTCCAAATTGTGTTCATGGATGGACTAAAAGAAATGCAACAGATGGATGGTGTGCCTAAAGATACTATTTAAAAGCTTAGCTTTGCTAAGCTGTCTGTTAATGTAGACATATCACTGGTTTATCCCTTGAATTGTACCTTTTTATGCTTAAATGATCAATAGGTCAGTGTGAAGTAGCCTAAAAAATTTAAATCTAAAGTCAATTCTTTATACACTTGACTATTTTAAAGTATAATACTGTAAATTAAGATGTTTGTTTTATCCCCCCCAACCCAGCTGAGTGACTGGCCTGCAGATAATCCTCCTTATGCATGTCCTTACATTCATGGCAAAGAAAAGAAGGGAAGATAGACACAATATCAAACTGACACACTAGGAAAACTATTATTTATTGTTTTTGTTGTCGTTTAAAAAAAAAAGAAAAAGAAAAAAAAAAAAAGAGAGAAAAAGCTTACACTCATTGAGTACAGCAGATAAAATCTCCAAAAGTCATTTTGAAACAGCCGTATTTGGAGTACAGGGTATCAGATTTTGTGTGTGTGATTTTTTTCCTTTACAATTCTACATTTGAATCAACGTCAAACTGACATTTTTATAAATTATGTAAAAACCTGTTTAACACGAGGGGGGAAAAAAACCAAAAACACAAAAGAGCTGTATGGGACATTTAAAAAAAAAACAAGAAGTACAGAAATAACATGATGTGAATTTCATGTTACCCTCTTTATTATTGTACACAATATACAAACTGGTTCTTTGTATCATTTTACTCACATCTACCGTCTTACTCGGGTTAAAAGGTGGAGATAAATAAATAAAAGTATCTACGTATCTCAAAAGGATATGAGGTAAGTGAGCATGGAAAGCATGTTAACTCCAATAAAACAAGCAAAAAGCAAAAGCCCGACACTGTACAAAAAAGTAGACATTTTCAAGCATAAGATTATTGAATCTATGACCAGATGCAACCAAGAGATCATTTCATACAGTAACCACATTTCTAATTAGGATAATAACACTGTGATTACGGCAGCATGTTGCGCCCATATCAAATAATAATAATAATAATAATAAACAAACAACAAAACAAAAAACGGATACAAATTCACCAAGAAAAAAAAAAAAAGTTTCCGCTGGTTTACCGTTGTTTGAAATGGAAAAATAATGAGGTGATCTGTAAGTTTAGATGAGTAGAACTAACAAGACTTGAGGTGGAATTTTTACAAAAAGAAAAAAAAACTAAAAAAGCCAATCAGGCCAAAAAAATAAAAATAAAAAAAAGAAGAATATGGGTTAACAAGAGATGGAGTTGCAGATGTCTCGCAGATAAAAGCACAGCTTCTCCAGTTCCGCTGCAGCACATGGATCGAAGAGGAAGAGAACAAACCATGAGACACAGAGCAACGGTTAAAGCCACTTACAAAGAAACTGTATGCGTCTTACCTTCACTAATTAGTGCACATTATCTGTGCTTGTCAGAGGATTTATGAGTATGACTGTTAAGGAAACGGTGAAATGCTCAAAGATGAAACAGCTGCTCATAAAAATATAGTGACGAGAAAAGTCTTTAAAGGTTGTTAAATGAGTGCGTTGCAGTGCTGAGAAAGTCCTCTAAATAATACACCGACAAAAGAAACCCACAACTAACTGCAAGTGTGTGTAAGCCTGCCTGATATGAGGTGTATAAGCAAAGGGACTGGCACACTGGCTCTTTGAAATGTCCATCTAGAAATATGAGGTTAAAGTCACATGATCAGTTTAGACTGGCGCACTGGGCCAGAGGGGAAATAAGCCGACCACTAAATGTTCAAATAAGATGAATCAAACAGTTCAATGCAGAGGTTAAGAGCGCCAGTTAAAAACAAGCCAGCGGGGCTTGGTTGTAAGCGTAAATGTGGCATCTGTGTTTGTACGGACACATAATATACTAAAATGAATGTAATTATCCCATAATAGAAAACAAATTCAGTGCCGTGAACAGCTGTAAGTATCTTTGAAACGCTACTTAACTTGATAAAAACTGTATTTGGCTAAATCAGTTAACTCCATCTACACTGGTCGGGATTTACAGTCTGAAATAAAGACGGCAATTTACGAAGAGTTCATTAAAATCACCTTCACACTGAAATGTCGCTTTATATTTAAGGATATTGCTTTTTCTCTTCCTTTCCTCCACTGCTGTCCCTCTTCTCTTTCTTTTCAGACTTCTCTTTGTCATGTCTGGACTCCTGCAGCACAAAAAGAAATAGAAAAAAAAGTAAATAATGACAAGAAAGTCCTTTAGTCGACGGCTCAGGAGAGTGCGCGACAGCGACTGAGTCTGACCTTCTTGCCGCCAGAGGACGTCCGCTCGGGTTTCACAGAGTCGGCCTTCTCTTTACTAGATGATTTGGATCTTTTGCTCTTCTCTTTCTCGGCCGACAGCGGGGAGTCACAGGAAGGACTTGTGCTCTTGCTGTTTTTGGAGGCATCTAAGAACAAAATGTTGGCTTATATTAATTTTTATTTTATGTTGTCCTTGTTTGGCTGAGAGCTCCTTCAGATTTTTTTTTTTTTAAATAAAGACAAAAAACAAACGCTTACTGGTCCCATTCTCATCCTTTCTGCGTTTGGCTTCTTGGCTCGTCTCACGGTCGTTGGCAGTGTGGTCCTGATAGACAAATGATATGATTTAATAATAACTAATATTTCAACTATATCCTTGTTGCTACTGCCTCTCCCTCTAATATGAAAACTAAATCTGAAAAAAATCCATTTCACATAGTTGATGAGGCGGTTAGACACTGACTCTCTTTCGCTCTTTCCGCTCTTCTTTCTTCTCTTTGGATCGGCCTTGTGTGTTCTCTGAGTCTTTCTTCTCCATCTCCCTCTCTCTGCTCTTGGACCGGGCAACTGAATTGAAGTTCATGTGGTGCTGGAAGAACAATTACATATGAATAGAACAAAACAACTCAAACAGGCAGCAGTGCCTTTATGTTAAGTGTTGGTATAACTTTAAACATAATACAGCACTGCAGGGGGGGAATATGCCCACAATGGTGGTAAAACAAGTAGAAAAGTATTTACTATTGTACTTTTCCTAATCACTCTACAATGATGACATACTTCCAAATACTGACTGGTATTCAGTCATGTGACACGTGACTACTAACTGTTCAACAAAGAGTTCACAGTGGCTCAGAGTGGGCTGAGATCTGCATTTAGACAAAGGTGGAGTTGTTTGTCATTATGAGAACAACGAAAGAGTCCAAAGGAGAAAAACCATCTATCAACTCATTTAAAGTCAAGTTAGTTTGTGATTTGTTTGTTGCAGTATGACTGACACTCAGTCTGATAGTTCTATTACATAACCCGAAAGGTATGTTTGACACAACATGCAAGGGATTCGCTTTCAGTGAGAGCTATGAAATATACTTTTCAGAGCAGTTTAAAAAGTCTTACACCGTCTTTCAATACAGGATTTACAGCACAAATGTTGATAAAGGGCTTATGAATCTAGATACATAGGCATGCGAACACATCTTATAGTCTTAAGTCAAAGGCTGACATTATAAACATAATACAGGCATCACTGGTGGCCTGCAGCCAACAATGATGTGGATGAGGCAAGTTGATTGGCTAGCAGCTGACCAGGTTTCCACTGGTGGATTAACTTGTGAAGCAAACTGGCTGAAATGTACCATTACTATTAAGTAGTTTTTTCTCATTAACATGTCAATAAAAGTCCTTCATAAAAATGTTTGAATAATTTAAATATGAAGAACCCAAAGGTAGCTGCAGTGCCTTTCTAGCAGTGATGCCTGGAGCATGCTGGGGTGAGCCTACAGGGCAGAGCATATCCCACTACATTTAGTTCAGTTATCATTTTTCCACTAATATAGATTTATAATATGGAACAGAAATCCCCTAATAAATTAGTTATAATACATTAGGCTATCAAAGTAATGAAATTACCTTCATTTGAAGTTGGAGGGTAGTCTAATCTACTGGCTCAGAGGCAAAGTAGGAAAAAATGTTATCCTGAACCCTTTATAATGAATAACTATTAATGAATAAAACATAATCTGCGTTGATTAAGTTTTAAGATTCACAGATTCTTTATATTTATGATTAAAAATATAAACCTGTTACAATCAGCTGGAAATGAAGGGACACTTGAGTTTATATCTACTTTGTCTTGATAAAATATTGCTGTCCAACAAGAAATATGGCCCTATAAGAGCACATGGTACTCAGTAACTGATGGTTTTCATTATAAAAGTGTACTGTGTAATGCTACATATATTAGTTATAAATTTTTAAGGACACAGCCAGCTGGGACTTCATGTTATTGTCTGGTATTTAATTTGCCCTTGCTGACATAAAAAGAGGTGAACAATCCAGATACTTCAACAAAACCTGAACATAGCAGCATTTTTCATGTTTAACTCACAGGAATAAAACAGACTGTCTGAATCTTGTGCACAAACTCAAGCAATAGTCATGGTTAAATGTGTTTCTTCGAAAATTATCAGCTTGAATACTAAATCTGGCATGTCGTGTAGGTCAGTTAAGAGATGTGGTAAACTTCAGGAAAACCTCAAACCCAGGGGCATTACGGTTTGGTATTTATGGCTTTTTCATGTTTTTTTTTTTTTTTTTTTTTTTAAAAAAAGACCTGCAATGACTTTACTTATTATTTAGGCAATGAAGCTAATGATTCTAGCAATTGACTAGAACCATCTTTAAAAAAAATATATACCTTAAAGTTGCTGCTAAAAATCATGAAAATGAATACAAGTCATGTCTAATTCACCTAAATGCAGTCTTTAGCTGATGCAGTCTAGTGTAAGCTACATGCACACTTCTTCCAAGTGACAGGTGTAGTTTAGCAGGAAAACATTTTCTACATGAAACTGCACATTACAGCTTTGGCAGTTCACACGAGCGACTATTTTTATTTTATTTTTTAAAGTGCGAGAACAAAAGACCGAATCACATGACATCAAACACTTTTTCATGTGAGAAGCTGAAGACGTTTTTGACTTGTGAACAAAAAGCTAGGAATAGAAGAGTTAATTCAAACCTTGGATGTGGACTCCTTGGGTTCGATGCTATTGTCCTGTAGGGATGAATGGAGATGACAGATGAGCTGGGAGGGGGTGGGGGATTGGGAGGAGGTTGTCAGACAGCAGCAGAGAGTTGGAAAAAGGGGTTGGGGAGGTGGGGAGTTGGGGCTGGCCGGACCAACAGCACACTTCTCCCTTGACCTCTGACCTTCAAGGACTAAGGCTTTGACAAGGTTATAACATAGAGGAGAAGTCATCATCTGGAATTGCAATATTTAAAATAGAAAAACCCTGAGCATATATGAAATAACTGCTAGTCTTTATACTACAGACATGTCTGACCTAAAATAGAAGTCCTACACCACAGCTGGTTTTCAATACATCTAAAGTGCAAGTGCTGAAAGTAGTGTGTGTGTGTGTGTGTGTGTGTGTGTGTGTGTGTGTGTGTGT